AAAAAAAAGCAAAAGAATACTACTATTACTCATTTACAAAATATTTCAAGTGTCAGTAAAATTCAACCAGGGAAACCTCCATCAGACTTCCCACTGACAGAATTTAGTTTTGGTGACTGATGCACTGCACTGCTACATATCACTATCTCAGGAACACTTGATGAAAAGCCTTTCTATGGTAAACTGCCTAATAAAGGAGTCTTGCAATTTTACCTTATACTATTCTTCTTCCATTCTTTAGCAGCTCTGTAACCTTGGAGATTTGCTTTTTGAAAGAAAACCAGGGATATTCGTGGCCTCACAAAGGCAGAGGATAAGAGACAGTTACTACATGAAAGCAGGATAAAGTACTGCTAATTACAGTGTAAGCACAGCCCTTCTTTGGGGCAGTAGAGACTAATAAGAGTCACAGTTACCCTTCTAACTCACTATTTTGAAGTTAGGAGGGATACCGTCACTGAGTTGCAAACAAAATAAAATGCTTTGGAGGCGTTCCATAGTACTCTGGAAATTATCTTATCTTCTAAGGAAAACCAAAAGTAGAAGTTACCCATAGGACAAATATAAAAACAGAACTTTTTTCATTTAGTAGGAAATAAAAATATTAAAAGTGTAAGCATATTTCTCTCATAAAGATCATTCACTGAAGTTTCTATATAAGTTTTTATGTAGAATAAACTCTATCTTAACAAGGAGCAGAGTAATCCAAAAACTTAGCTCACATAATTGGGCATTATTCTGATTGCTCCCTTCGCACTCCTCTACTTATACTTTTTAATGCATTGCTTTTAGCGCTATTCCATTAAATACTCCCTTTATAGCTGACAGACTGGACAACATGATAGAGAGATTTCACAACTACGCTGCTAGACAGCATACCTTTAATGCCGATGTCCAATCTCTCTCAAAAAGTGAGCAAGCAAAAAGAAGCACTTTTAACTTCTGTGAGGAGAATTAATAAGTGAAAACTACTGTCTCTTTTCTTACCCAAGACACTCATCGTTTCCGGTGCTAAGCTATTAGTTATAAAACCACTTAAGCACCTTGTCATAGCTATCTATGTCAGCGTTCCTTATACTTTTTTATGCCAGCTCACAATGTGGCTTAGCACACACATTATCTCTAGAGAATGTGTGTATGTGTATATCTAAGCAAATCAAGTGTCATAAAACACTTAACCATTATCTCTGAAATGTTCTACTCTGATCTATTCCTTTCAATTGCTTTTGCAACTTACAAATGGGGGTCATGAAACAATCCTTTGAAAAACACTAATATATGCTATAATTGTCCCTTTTTCGTGTAAAATTATAGTATCCTCAAGTAGAAAGGGCTAGGTTTTGTTCCACTGCTGCTATCTCAGGCTATTACCTAGTACCAAGTTCATATTAACTTACATGCCTAGACCCGACACAGCAAGCTCTAAATATCTCCTTGGAGTTGGCAGAGTAGGGTGTGGGATGATAAAGGGTAACTGAAGCTTAATAATAATAATAAAAAAGACCAGTGAAAGTCTTCTAGTCTCAAATGACTAGCATTAGAAATATCACACATTATGTTGGCAATTTTTTTTCTTGTTTTAGATGTTAAAAAAGTAGCTTATAGGCTGGATTTAAAACATCCAATTTCTAATAGCTCTGTAGTTGCTGGCTGTCCTTTTGCTATATCCCAAGGTCTGCTGAGTGCTCTCAAAGTCAATGTACATATAGACAGAGAATCTTGTGATCATCACACTGGATAAACAGGATTCAACTAAGTGGCATTCTCTTCACTACTTTAGATATTAACTGCTCCTCCTAAAGCCCTTAAAGTAGAGGAAGCTTTCTCTACTAAAGAAAATGCTTCTGGGGCCGGCCAAGTGGCGCGATGGTTAAGAACTGGCTTGGGACACTAGAGGGCCCCGGTTCGGATCCCACATGTGAGGGCCAGTGACACTGCCCTCTACAAAAAAAAAAAAAAAAGAAAATGCTTCTGGAATGTGCCTTTTGGGGTCAATATTAATTGTACTATAGTATTACCTTAATAATATCAAGATAAAGAAGGCTTTTCCACCGTGATTCAGGAAGGAGTGATAGAGTCACCAACTGCTCATTCAACTGTTCTGGGGAATCATACTCTATCATGTCATCACTTGGTTCTATGTTTTCTTCTGATAATTCTATATCTTAAAACAAAAATTTTCAGGTAAAACAAATTAACACAATGAGATTTTCATCATATAAAAGCAATTTAATTCATTCCAAATCCATTAGTATTCCATAAGATATTCACTCAGTGTAGCCTTGAAAAGGCTTTCTATTTATTTCCTTTCCTCATCTTTTCATATTAACTGCAACTCCCATCACTAGACCCAAAACTTCTCCACTGATATTCTATTAGATATCTTATCAACACCATGTCAATCATTTTTACAAAAATTCATGAAGTCATTCAAAATATTTCGTATCAGTTAAAAAATACTTTGATCGAATGCATTCAACTTTGCCTTCAATAGCAATATCACTAATGTCAGGTTTATGATAATTACGCTTCAAAAATTATTTTACTGTTTTATGATTACCTTGGGTTTGACAAGTACCAGGAAGCATCACTACTGAAGGAACATAATCTGTGGGAAGTGGCCGTAATGAAACAACTGAATACAGGGAAATATTGGACCTGAAAAATAAAAACATAAGCAATATTTTAAAACTTATAAAAATATTTTTTCAGAGAAACTTCAATCACTGCTAATAATTTCTATAATCTTGAATTTGGATTACAGTTTAAAAAAAGATCTCAAACATAGACAGTTTTGATTTGAAAATGCTTTGATTCGTGTCAGAGATGTCATCACATGAAAGCCATGTATAAACATTAATGGGGTCTTTATTTTTAATGTAGTACAAAAAAAGTATTTATTTGAGACAGGTACTAGATAATACTTGTATAAAGTAACATAACCTCCACATATTTATAGTTTTGACAAATGTCATCCTTCATTTAAGGAAATAATAACTGAAGGAAAGAAGAACTCAAAGAGTTATGTTAGAGAGAGAATATGCTGATCAGATTCTTGGGGTTAACAATCATGGATTTCCCCTTCTCTAGAATGGTCCCCTAAGTGGCCATGTTTCTGCTACGTGACTGTGCACCATGACCTTGTATTACTAATCAAGATGTAGCTATCTGTCCGAAAGTCGGCATTCTGTTTCCCATACATAATGAATTTGGAATGGTAAATAAAGATTGGGACTATCAGGTTCTGAGTTGTACTAATAGCAGTAGTATACACTCTTGCTGCTGAGGTTCCATAGCTACTATTCTTCTCTTGTCTTGATTGTCAAGCCTCACAGATTCTAGGAGATACTCCATTTTGCTTATTAAGGTGGCCAGAGTCTATTTCTACTATATATTGAATTTACTTTCATATCCTAAAGATCTAATTATAAAATTTTAAAATTAGAAAAAAATTAATTTTTTTTTCTCTTCTCAATATTAACAGTTAAAAGAAACAGACATCTGAACTTAGTAAATAGACAAAAACTTTTCTAGACCCAGATGATAGACCATTTATTTTGAATTCTTACGCGTTTATCACATGGAGTTGGCAGATCACCGTAAGTATCTCCACATGGCTATCAACAGTTATACAACTAGAATGAATCTTAGTAAGCATTTTTCCCACACTTATGCCTTATTTTTATAGATAAAGTAGTCTGAAGTTAAGAGATTGGCCAAGGTCAGAAAGCAGTACTGGGATACTGTAAAGAAGGTTAGAGACTGGCTGGGGACTCCCGTTTTCTAACATTTTTAAATTCACTCATCCTTTCTGCAAATTAAAAAAACTACATGTAATAGATAGAAATCAATCACGTGGTTTAGAATACACTTGAACAAAGCTATTTTTTTAAAAAAATTATCAAGCAGATGTATCAAGCAGATTTACTATAAGACTTATAGTAAATTAACTGTGTTAACTGTGTGACATTAGCATTTTACAAATTAAAAAAACAACAGCAAAACTAAATGGCAATGTTAGCAACAGTGATTGTCTGACAATATCATCTTCCTTCCCTTCCTTACCCAAAACAGAATTGTATGAAAGAACTCACCATAGATAAATTCCAAGGTGGTCAACGTGGGAAGTAGCCAGAAAGTCTCCAGTAGGGGACATAGTAACATTGAGAGGAGCTGAGTCCAACAAAAAGCTGTCTATAAGGCTATAAAAAGAATCAAGGTGTTAAAGTATTATAACTCTACCAAAGGATATAATTCACAAAATACATTTTTGTTCAAAGAATATGGGATAAGATATGCAGAAATTTTTCATTTTTATATTTTAAAAAATTACCACCACCAGAAAGTCATCAATAACAAAGAGCTTTGTCAACTAAGTTACTATGTAAAAATAATCTCTTAATGAGAGAGTCTCAGAATACTAAATAGACCAATTAACCAGAGAAAAGAGTTTTCAACAGGGAGAATACAGGAGGAAATACTGTTTTTCTGAAATTTCAATTTTCGTAGACTAATCTGGGGACAACTCTGAAGATGTCACATGTTTAAAATAAATCTAATGATCAGTACCCTCTTATATTTTTGTTATACCAGTGAAAATAAAAAAAGGCTTAGGCAATAAAAGAAATTAATGAAATAAAATGCCTGTTAATAAAATAGTAATGCAAAAAACTAGAGCAGTTCTACCTGTTTTTTCAAATAGGTAACCATGCCATACGTGAAATATACAAAAAAATATTCATTCTATACAGCATAACCATAAAGCAGTCTGTGGAAACTAGTCTCATAGCTTTGAAAGCTGGAGGGGTGGAAAAGTTGGGGAGGAAGGATGATACCCAGGTAAGAGACTCAGAAGAGACTTCTCAGAGAATACAGTGCTGGAGATGAGCCTTCCAAATGGACAGGATTCCAGTGGATGCTGATGGCAGAGAAAGCCCATCCTGGCTGAGGGAAGGAAATGTGAAGGACAAGGTGAAGGAAAACACAACTGGGTCTAGTGAGCAGTGCAGCTCAGAGCATAAGGCTACACACAGGGTCTTGAATACCAAACATCTGAGTTTGTTTTTATTTTTTCATCAATGGAAAATCACTAAAGGCTTTTGACTAGATAGTGGTGTCATCTTCACTTCCATTAAAAAAAAAAAAATCTGCCATCAGAATGTACAGTGTATCTGACCAGGAAGAATACTGCGATTATAGTAGCGGTCATCTAACAAGCAATGGAGAAATGAACTAGGATGGCGACCGCAGAAAGTGATATGAGCTGGATTTAATGAGCAAACAGAAAGGCCTCCTGCAGAGGAAGCTTGTATACTTTCAGAGAAATACACCAGTTTTAATCACTGCTGGTTTAAAAACTTTATTCACTGAAGCCAGCCAGTGCATTATCCATGGGAAGGCACAGCAAAATGAAGTACAGAATCTACATTAAATAAAACATTTTAAGAAAAGAAAATAACAGCAGTTATCACTTTTTTTTTTTTAGTATTCCATGCTAGAAAGTATCTTGGGCACCTGAGTCTACTAAATTAATCCTCACGACCCTATGAGGTAGATTTGTCCTTACTATAAGGAACAGAAAAATGAGTCCCAGTAAGATTTAAAAACTTGCTCAAGGTAGAAAGTATTGGGTTTTTGGAAAAGTCATGACGCATTTTTGCAACGAAAAACATAGAAAAAATACGTCATGACTTTTCTGACAACCCAATAGCTGAGCCAGGATTGTCACCGCTTAATCACTATAAGCTCGGTAAAATCACTATTGAAACTAAAGGTATACAAATAGCTTGTTAGCACATACACACCCGGGAATGCCTGCACTGCTGATTCACAGAACACACTCTGAGCAGCTCAAATGTAAATGAAGACTCCCCCGTAGAGACAAGTGACTTGTCCATGATGAAAGCTCTCTCTCAATTTGTTCAGAGAATGATTAACAATGTAAATCTTAAACAATGAATGCAAGATAGGAAGACAAGACTAAAATTAGGAGCACTGGAAACATACACACACCCAAGTGTGCTCAGGACAATGACTGCTATTTAATTCTGTTATGGGGGAAAAGGTGAGTAATAATCTGTGAGATTTCTGTTCAGACCTACTTTGGAAGCTTACAAGAATGGCTTCACTTGGGGGCCAAGAGAACTGGGAAAAAGGATACATTGGTAAAGTAAACATTATATCCAGAGATTGTTAAATTATTTATGTTAATTCATTTAATCCAAAAAACCTGAGAAAAACCTGAGCAGAAACATTATCCCAATGTATACAGATGATAAACAAACCAAAACACAGCAATTTCAGATCTTACCATTTCTTGACTTAATTGATATTTGTTTATTAAAAGTGTAAGTATGTGAAGGGTGAAATGCCCTAACATGTTTAGACTCTGTTAAAAATAGAATCTACTGCTTGAGCAAATTTATTTTATGTGATACTATAATTATTTTGTCAAATTCATTGCGCAACTTGATTCCACAGCTGTTATTGTGTGTGCGTAGACTGACCTTCCATTATGTAAAAGCATCAAATTGAGGAAGGTGGTTTCCACATACACAGCATATTTTACACGGCCACATTAGTTCACAAAGCATAAGCGTGCTGGCTTAATTCCATGCCTAACTACCAGATAGTCTCCTGCTAATCCCACAGAATGAAAAGTCCCAAATAAGTTATGTACTGAGAGAACATTAATACAAGTCCCATGCTAAGGAATCAGTTTCAAGCCCAGAGCCCTGCACATAGCAGTAACACTGATTATATTCTGAACAAATGCACAGGGTCTAGATGTTTCATCTCCAAAGTGATGGAATCACCTTACACAGGGATCTTTCATGAACAGAACAAAGGGATGGTTTTACTTCAGTGAGAAATGAAAAACAATGTTCTATGCCAATTATTCTCATGTAATGCTCCTCAGAAAGCAATGGTGAGACAGAACAAAGTGCAAAACCCTATTAAAACTATTTAATTTTATATTTTTCTCACCCCCAAAAGTGCTCAACGTGAACTTCCAATAGGCTGAAAACAACCAGAAATATAAAGTGGTAGTGGTAGAGAATGACAGGTAATTTCAGGGATAAAAAAGTTCAATTCTGCTTCTCTGAGAATCCTACAAACAAAAGAAAATATTCTGCACTTTAAAACAACTTTACAGGAAAACTTCAGTACTTATGCAATTTGTTTTAGATAGGCACAATTCCAGATGGATACACCTGTATGTTACCACACCCAAAGGTTTACTCATAAATAGCTTCACTTTTCAGGCTACGTAATGAGTATATTCATTCTTTAAATATTTAACATGTTATATAAAATGATAAAGCTGCTTACTGAAGAAAGTAGATTCGGAATCTCCAACGGTTGGTCATACTAATTATGGTTTATAACCAGGGGGAACCCAAAATCCCAGTAGTTACATATGGCTATAGGATGAAATACTGCTCCTCACTTATTATCTTCTGCATCAGGAAAATCCGTTCAAAACTGTCGGGAAATCTGTTTCTTTCTCCTATGCTTATTACAGCAAAATTCCTTGGGCAAACTATGCCACCTTGGGCAAAACACTTAACTTCTCTTTAAGCCTCCATTTTCTCATTTGTAAAATGGGACTACTAACAGGAATAGTACCCACATCCATTAGGACATGAGGGAAGATGAAAAGTAAAAGCACATCAGGTGCCTAGTAGCTCCTGGTAAATGAGCAACTAGGCAGCAGTAGTTGTGTGATATTGCTTTTCAAGCTTTCTCATTCACTCCACTTCAAATCTTAACCAAAGTAGTACTTATTTTTGTCTTTATTAAAAATATACTTTGGTTCAATCACGTAGACACCATTACATGTTCTTTTAACAATCCCTGTGTGTCTATTTGTTGCTCTTGGGTTTCTTCCAGCTTCATGCCTCTGTATTCACCAAAAATTACCTCAGTGTCACCTAAAAATAAGATACCAGTGTTGAAAACCTATCAAATTTAAATCTGCTCACCTTTTTACTGAAATAAGAAATTCAGCTAAAAGGCTAATGCTGAGTCAAAGATTAGGAGCTTTCAAGGTTTTCGGATCCTAATTTTTCCATTCCAAAGATAAACTTGCCACTTTTAAGAAATATTTTGCCAATTTAGTACTACTGAACATTAACCTACCTCTCCTATCTAATGTGAACTAAAAGTACTAAAAAGGAAAACGAAAAGGGCATAATTGTGCAACCTTCCCACTGTAATTAAAGAAATTCAAATCATAATGTTTTTAGAAAATAGCAAAAGTCCAAGAAGAAACAGACTACCAAATATTCTATCAATATTTCTAATGGTGCCTTTAAAAAACAGTTTTTTAAAAATTAAGGAAGTACCAACTTTAGGTTAACTTTTTGAAGTTGGAGGACATAGCTAACAAATGAGATTTTGCTTCCTCTATTTTAAGTGAAAAAGTGACACACCTGTGGACAAAAGTCCCCAGTTATTAGAGCTGGACTCATCAGCAACACTCTGTTGTGCACATTCCAAATCTGGTGTGTATGTTGGATGAATAGCTGTGCTTCACTGCTGTATCAAACTTGAAGGGAAATGAGTACATCAGGGTTTTTCCTTTCTAAAGGTCAACTGCTTTCAGGTATGAGCTTATCCAATTCCCAAGAAAGAACAGGAAGTAGAATTGGACAGAGATTAACTTAGAAATATTTCAGATTAAAAAGTACCATCTTCCTTCTCACTTTTCTCACCAATGTCTTTCCTTATGGTACATTCCTATTAAATTAGATACTTTGCTACTCCCATCACTCCTTTTATACTTAAGCAATTCTATGTTAAGTGATATGATTTTAAATTGTATCTATTCCTAAGTAATTTTTAACAACAAAGTTCTCTCTCTCCTCTCTCTCTCTCTCTCTCTCTCTCTCTCTCTCTCTCTCTCTCTCTCTCTCGGTCGCCACTGTTCAAATTATTTAACAGAATTAGATAATGTTTTCTCTTCAAGTGCTGTTTCAGTAGCCAAGTTTCAAGCTATAAAACAGATTTCTGAACACTGCTGGGTTGTAAAGTCTGAGCTATATTTTAAATGATCAAAAAGGCCAAATGAGCTTTTTTAAGTTTTATGCAACTCACTTCTATATCTCAAGGTTGCAGGAATGGAAAACCTAAAGAGATTGCATTTTCCTCACAATTTTTTTTTTATGGCACTACTCCCTACCATAAGGATACTCCAAGGATAAAATACCATCAAGTTAGAAAAAACCCCAAATATATTCCTATTCAAAGAAGCAGATAATCCATTAGCTAAAGGTAAAAGGCAATGGCTGGGAAATCTGAAAGAGGTTGGGCATTTAAATATAAACTCACCACCCCGAAGGAAGGTCCCAAGTTCTAATGGAGCAATCCATTGAAGCACTTATTAGCCAACGACCATCAGGACTGAAAGCCTTTAAATTAAAAAAAAAAAAAAAGAACACATATAATTTTGTGTGTGTGTGTGTATTTATATGTGTATTTTTGTGTCTGTATTTTTCGCAGTTCAAAGAATGTAAGAAATGAAAAGGTGCAGGCTTCATGAAAAATTAAGTTTGAGTAACATTTAGACAACCTTCTTTTACATAAAAGAAAATACCGTTTCTTATATATCAGTAATTTAGATACAGACAAGGATTAGTCTTATACATGAATTATAAATGTTCTAAAGCTTAACAATATCAGCCAATTTTTAATTTTTACTTCAGAATCTCCTAAAATTAGACAATTAATAAACTGTGTTTGACTACAAATCATGTTTAATATAAAACAGCTATCCTGAGAACATTCAATTAGAAATATCTTGTTAGCCTAATTTTAGTTATAAAGTATCTGTGAAAGCAACAAAACCCACGAATTTCTTGAAAAGAATCTATATATTAAAGTAGCTTTCTCAGAATTAATCCAAAATGATTTGGAAGACACGAATGCAAATTCTCTGAAAATATTAAAGCTACTAAAGAAGTCCTTCTACTTGTAGCTTCAGTTAAAAAATTCTTCTTCCTTAATCATGTTTTATTTCCAAAATATAATTTAAAGCCACAATCATCAGATTTTCAAAATAAATTTAAACAATAAACTACGTATGCTACCTTAAAGAAGTTATCTCTCTTCTATCAATAAAAATGGATAAATAATAGTTCTCCTTGCCTACAGCTATTAAGTGTTGTAAGGCTTAAATCAGGTTACATGTGTAAGAAGACCCAAAATGACAAACTTTAAAGTTTGTAACAGCAGCATGATAGCACATCTAGGAGTTTAAGCACACCACCGGGATCCCGACTAACCATATTGGCAAATGATACTGGGATACGTGAACACTAATTTCTTCAATGGGCTGCAGCGATACTGTGGAAACTCAAACCTTAAGGTAGAGAGCTCAATTTACAGGATAGTACAGACACTAAAGGATGGGACTCTGATAGGTAGAGTCATGTTATAAATAAATACGCACAGATTTAATTAAACAGAAGTAATTTATTACTGAGCAGGGAAAACGCTAGATATACAAGTTGAAAGTCAAGTTTGAAATGGAAAGAAATAGGAAGAGCAAGTTGGCGCTGACAGATGTTTCAAAAAATGCTATTTCACCAAAATTACCCCACTCCCACCCTCATTTCTACAGATACTGTTGCAATAAATTCTGTTGATGGGTATTTCTGCCAATCTCCTATCTGCAGCACAACACTATTTCTTGACCATTTTTTTCCCCTACTTTTAAGAAAATGGGTAAACACTGCAAACTCCAACTTTTGATGTGAGAACTAGTAAGTAAGAGTAGCTGTTGGGATTGCTGCTCAGTAGCTAGGGTTTTATTTTTATTTTTTTCTGTTTTCAAGTAAATCAAAGTATCTGCAATTGACGCAAAATAACATGTACTTAAAATAGTCCTCCACATGCACTTTTTAGAGTTCTTCTTACCATATCATACATCCCACTGTAAGACATAATAGTAAGCTAAAACACATTATTAATCAAACTCTTTGGGAATTAAGATATATAAACTCTAGAAATAATGCAAAACTAAATAAACCAGGTACCAGATGTTCCAGGTGTACTAGTATTAATGTGTTATGTAGAAAAACAGAAATGAGTTTTCTCCGCTTAGTTTAATATTGTCAAAAATGATATACTTATGTTTCAATGCATCAATCATTCTCCAAAGGATATGCTGGCCTTGGTTAGAGTTTAAGAGAACAAGATAAACTCTGAGATTCATATTTTAATCTGATGTCATTAACTCCCTGAGAAATATTAAAACTCTTTTAATTCTAAATTTTCCTTAAAAAATCTCTTTGAAAATTAGCCTCAAAATTATTTATTTTGAACATTCCTCATATGATGAGTAGTTTAATGCTATTAAAGAATAATAGTTTCAATCATTTGAACATTTTTAACCTAAACAGAAGTAGAAATGAGTCGAGTTTTGTTTAAACATCTAAAGTTTGTTTTACCATGTCATTTATTTGGCCTTGGTGTCCAGAAAACTCTCTGACAATCTTCCTAGTTTCTATGTCCATGACACAAATGGAGAAGTCATCCAAGGCGAGTCCCAGAATGCCACTAGCAAGATAAATGAACCCGTTTTAACAAACAAGCAAGCAAAAAAAACCCCAAAACCTTCAACTAACATCTCATAGTCACTTTAATTTTTATAATCAAGTGTATTTGGGGAAATTAAGCAAAATGCTGTTCTTTTATATTAAAAGTCTGATTTTTCCCACTTGGTAAATTATGTACTTTACTCACATTAAGAACTTTTACCAAAAGCATCAAGAAAAAAATCCATTATCATTAAAAAAAAACTTTACCTGTCTCTGTGTAGCAGCATCATATTTGGAGATGAATCGAGGCTCATGGAGTGGATTAAAGTTTTGTTTTTAAAGTTCCAGAACTTGAGTAATCCTTCACTACCAGCTGTAATTGTCAACTGGTTTAATCCATCTACTGCAACGCCTCTAACAGACCCTTTATGAGCTTCAAAGCATATGTTGAAGAAAAAAAGAAATAAGAATTGGCATAGCCTCTCTGAATACTACACAAAAAGGATTCCTTCATTTAAATATCCAAGTTCCCACTATTTACCTTCCCTAAAATCTTGAAATTTATCTGGATTTTAGGGAGCAAGGAGAAACTTATTATATTGCTTGAATAAAAACAAAGTCCATCAGGTTAATGCCATGAAAGTTTCAAAAAACAGTGAAAATTTTCTGCTTAGAGCAAGAAGAAAAGAAAAATTTTAGTTTGTACAATATCCACTTTCCTCTACTATATCCATGGCTTCATTCTGAGTATTTCAGCATGGTGTTTATAATAGTTACGGCAGTATCTGACATACAGTGTTGACGATAACCCACTACTTTAGCAAAATGGCCAGCACTGACGAATCTAATAAATTCCAGTGACAGTTATTAGCTAGAATCTATATTAGTTTTTTATAAATAAGAAAAAACATTCAATACCTTGATCCTTGCCAAAACTTCCTCGATGTATACCAGACTGCATGTTATATACATCGACAGCTCCCGATGAGAGACCAATTGCAGCAAAGTTTCCACAAGAAGTTATATCCACTGCCTTAGGAAAAAAAATTTATACACAAATGACATCAGAAAATAACATTTTAATTGTACTTTATAGCTTCCAACGTATTTTTTAATCTACTGTTTTTTTAAAAGCATGATAAATGAAATGTTTCAATTTTCTTAAGTATAATAAAATCACACTTGAGTATATAAGAAATATCTGCTTGATTCCATCCCCATTCTCTAAGAAGTATGAAGAAATTATTATCCAAGACAATAAAACATAAGCAAAGTTAATTAAAATTTACAAAGTCAGGAGAACTGTGTTTCAGCTGGCCTTCAATTCTTAATTTATTCACAACAGCGCTAAAGTCAAAGCATTCCATTGCCTAATTTCTCTTTACCTTATTTTTGTAATTGCTTCTACGGCTGATACAGAATTGAAAACATATCATTAGATACAATGTCCAATGAAAATGCCCCAAATATTTTAATTATGACATATTAGGAAGGAAATACATAAGACATTGCATAGAAAATATTTAGTTTATAAGTAGTTTCTGTAAAATAAACATATTTTAATACTTAAAGTGTTGCTATTGTATTAATGAAAGGTATTTTTTTCTATGTTAAAAACATGACACTGAGTATGTATTGGGTCATGACCAGAGAAATCCTTGATTGCAACTATGTGTCAGTTGGATGTCACCCTCCCAAAAGAAAATTCAAAAGACTGCTGAATTTATGCTAAAGAAATAGGTAACTTCTAAGATCTAAAAGTAAATATTTAATAGAGGTTATTTAACTGTGCAAAGCACAGTAAAACTGATATACCACTATCTGAGTCAAGACATATTTACATAGCATTCACATAAGTATATTTCACTTACATATGCTTTTCTAGGTAATTATAGCTTATTCCTTAATAAATATTTTAGATAGGGAATTATGGACTAACCTTAAAAAGCACTCTATCTTCCTAAATAGAACACAAACATAATCTTACCTATTTTGAATAACTCATAAATGTTTATGCTATGTTGTATAGTTATGCTATCAGGAACTAATGGAGGTACTGGGCTATAACCTATAGATAATAAAGGCTTCTGATGGCCTTGCTGTACTTTTTATAACTTGCATTTATTTTAATAGGATTTCTTGTTAGGAGGCCTGCTTCTGGAAATCTTCTTTTCTAATTTATTCACTCTAATCAAACATCAAAAATGAATAAACTGAGAGGGTTACCTCTGAGTAACAAATTGACTTGAGTGCACGGGCTCTATGATAATCACTTCTGCTTATTACTTGCTGGTTATTTACAAGTAGTTGAGTTTGCCAGACACATGACTCATCACCAATTAAGTATCACTATATATACAGTGATCTATGAGTGATCACTACAGGCTGTGAGTTAAGAACACAGGTCCTAGGTTCAAATCCCAGCTCTTCCATTTACTAGCTTTACTGACCTGAGGCATGTTACTCATTAGATTAAGCCTCAGTTTTATAGTCTATAAAAAGAGGCTAACAATAGACCACATCATAGGATTGTTGTGAGGATAACATAAAATAGTATGTTCTAGGCTGAGAGCCTGGAACAAAGTAAGCACACAACAAAAGTTAGCTGCAATTATCGTTACCACCATTACTACTGTAGTTACTCAAAACTGTGCAGGTAAACTTAAGGCGCTTAAGATAGAATTTCTATGGTTTAAAAAATAGTATAAAAGTTCAAGACTAGATTTTGTACTATGAAGAATATAGCATACATACTTACAAAGAAATCTATACAAAATAGAATAAAATGTGGAGTTCTACTTTTAATAAGCAGTTTCAAAATTCTGCTGCATTCTTTGCAGAAATTGATAAACTGATCCTAAAATTCATATGGAAATGCAAGGGACCAGAATAGCTAAAACAATCTTGAGAAAAAAAAGAAAAGCTTGGGAGGATTCAATCTTCCTGAATTGAAAACTTACTACAAAGGTAAAAAGATAAGACATAAAGATAAGACATACAGAACAATAAAAGAGAACTGAGAGTCCAGAAATAAACACATTTATGTCAAATGATTTTTGGCAAGGGTGCCACAACCATTCGATGGGGGAAAAAAAATCCTTTGAATAAACGATGCTGAACAACTCGAAATCAATATGCAAAAGAATAAACTCTGACTCCTACATCACACCATACACAAAAATTAGCTCAGAAAGGATTATAGACCTAAATGCAAGAGCTAAAACTGGGAAACTCTTAGAAGAAATCACAGGAGTAAATTTTCATGGCTTTGGGTTAGGCAGTGATTTTTCAAAAACCACAAACAATAATAATAATAATAAAAAGATAGGCTAGACTTCATCAAAATTAAAAACTCTTAGGCAGAAAAATGATACCAACAAAAAAACAAAATGACGGTCCATAGATTGGGAGAAAATAATTGCAAATCACATATCTGATAAGAAACTTGTATCCAGACTATATAAAAAGCTATTACAATTCAATAAAAAGAAATAACCCCATTAAACAAGGGGCAAATGGTTTAAATAAACATTTCTTCAAAAAGGATATACAAACAGCCAACAAGCACTAAAAAAGACACTTATCATCATTAGGTGATTGGAGAAATGCAAATCAAAACAACAATGAGATATACAGCTTCATACACACTAGGATGGCAATAATCAAAAGAACAGACAATCACAAACGTTGGTAAGGATGTATAAATATTGGAACCCTTATACACTGATGGCGGGAATGTTAAAACAGTGTAGCCACTTTGGAATAGGTTGGCAGTTCCTCAAAAATGCTAAACATAAGTTACATTATGACCTAACAATTCCCCTCCTAGGTATAAATGCAGAGAAACAAAAACATCTATCCACGATAAAATCTGCAGCATTAATAATAGCCAGAAAGTACAAACAACACAAATGTCCTGATCCATGGCTAACCAAATTGTGGTTTATACACAAAGTGGAATATTATTCAGCAATAAAAGGTATGAAGTACTGATACATACTACAACATGAATGAACCTTGATTACGCTAAGTAAAAAAAGCCAGTCACAAAGACCATATACTGTATGATTCCATTTACGTGAAATGCCAAGAATAGACAAATCTATAGAGATAGAAAGGAAATTGTGGTTGCTTAGGTTAGGGAAATGGAAGAGGGAGAAATGAGATGGGGATGGCTGTGAATACGTACAGGGTTTCTTTATGAGGTGATGAGAAGGTTCCAAAATTAGGTTGATAGGATTTTGGTGAGGCATGCATAATTCTACGAATATACTAAAAACCACTGAATATTTTAAATGAGTGAATTATATCTCAATAAAACTTTAAGGACAAGCAGAGGCAACACTTCCACAAACAAATTTGAAATTTTTCTTTATATCTTAAAATCTGAATCTAATACAAGACTTAAATATTAACAACTGAAAACAAAAATAAAATTTCCAAAGAAGAGTTAAGAACTTATAAGTAAATGCTGGCATTTAAAAGCTATATTTTAAGGGACCGGCTGAGTGGCTCAGTTGGTTAAGAGCTCGCTCAAGATTTTGAGCTCTGAGCAACAGTGGTTCAATTCCTGGCCTGAGCTGAGCAGCCACTGAGCTGCCAACAGGTGGCAGGATAGCTCAGCTTAAAAAAAAAAACAAAAAAAGGTATATTTTAAGAAAGCTCAGACAGAATTCAATCAGAATTTCTCTAAAAGGTACATCTCTCCAAGAGACAAATATAAGAAAAAAAGAAATGAAGGATTTCACTTCTACATCTATAATTCATTAAAAATTTACCTAAATCTTACTCGTATAGTGAAAGAAATGGAAGAAAGGAAAGAAGGGAGGAAGGACATAAAGAAGAATCCTTCAGATTCACATTTATTGAACATAGTACTGTATACTCAACATAATTAAGGTGAGAAAGTATATTGATAAATGCTGAAATCATCTTCAAAGGGTATTCTGAGTAATCCTATATTAATTAGAAAATTTAAATAACCAATATACTGTATCTGATTAGGCAAAGCTTAACTTAAACGTAAAATAATTCTCTGCAAGTTGGGGAACTTAACACTATTTCCAAATGTTAAATTATGTTCTTTGAACCAATGCTATCATTAATAAACTTGAGTATAACAAGATTACCACAGGACAGTTTTATGGGGGAAAATGCTCTTACAAACAAGCTCACTTACTGTTGCGGTTATGTCATCTTTCTTCAGCTCTTTTGGCTTGAGAAAGTAAGAGCCTATTGTAGATCTTTGATAGTTCCAAGTTGAGCAAGATAGTTTCCCTTGATGGCAAGCGATGATACCATCCCAGTCACTTTCACGAGCTTCCTCTAAAACACAATTAAAATCATACATAAGATTGCTTTTCATTCCCTCACTTATTCATTCACCTATTATTAATTCCATGTTATCATTAGGCACTAGGGACACAATTATAAATAGGTATTTCCTGATAGCAATGAGTTTCCAATCTAACAAGATATTCTGATTAGAAGAAATTACAATAAAGTATAACAGTGTGTTATAAGAGCTCTCAGGAAGAGTCTGTTAAAAAAATTTGGGGAGAGTAATAAATGGCTCCCTGAAAGAAGCAGCAAAACAAGTAGTAATTAACTGGGGGGAGGGACACACATAAGCCCAAGAGTAACTTGAAAAAAATTATAAAATTAAGTAAGCACAGCAAGTAAGTGAAGCATTTTCTCAAAAAGGATGAGGAGACAGGGCAACTGGTGCCACATTACAAAGTGTCTTGAAAGCCATGTTAAGGAGGGGAAATTCTACCCTAAAGGTAATAAGGAGCCACTGAAAGATTTTTAAGACAATGAGTGACATGTTTCGGATATTTCAGAAAGACCACTCAGGTTCTAAGATAAAAACAAGAGAGGAGGGTGGTCAAAATTAAAGTTCAAAAAAAGTCACCAGGCTGTTATAATAACCTTGAAGTAAAAATGGTGCCTACAATTATTTCTATGATAGTTTTCACTCAACAATCCCATCACCTATACATTTTTTTCTTTTCTTTTCTTTTTTTTTTAGCTGAGCCATCCTGCCACCTGTTGGCAGCTCAGCTCGGGCTGGGAATCGAACTGCTAGTTGCTCAGAGCTCGCACTCTTGAGCGAGCTCTTAACCAACTGAGCCACTCGGCCAGCCCCTATACATTTTTCTTAAAATCACTTCTTTGAATAAAGTACTGCTCAAGTGACAGTATATGCTAAGACCTCAGTGTATTTAGGTATTTATTAGTCAGAACTCTACATTCTCAATTCTTGCCTTTTTATTAATACATCAGTGACTTTCATTATCCACATATGACAGAATAAAAAGCAGGGCCACAAAATGAAATATCAAGTATTGTTTATTAGTAGCTCTTATAGAGAAGAGCAAAGCCAGAAATTAATAGATAACAAGTTCAAATTATAAATAAGTCATTTTTACCCTTCACAAAACATTAGCGTGTACTTGGGGTTACCGTCTACATACTTATTAATATTTGCATAACATTTATTGACATGGAAGAAATAAAAAAATATATTGAGGTTACCTTTCAGATGTTTAGTAATATTTGCAAAAACACTTATTAAAATGGAGAAAATAAAGAAATAGATGGTAGGAAATAAATGACACAGCAGAACTTCTCAAAACACAGTATGAAGTTACTTACCAGCTGCAAACTTTGTGATGGGTGGAAGTCTCACTGACATGGCATTCTGCAGTCCTTTACGTTTGACTCTCTTTTTATTTATTAGTCCTGAGGTTGGGGGAGAGGGGAACATAGCTATGAATCCTTCGTAATGAAAATGTATATGTAAGTTATTCATTGTCACATAACTATAAGGTTCAAGATATTCCCATTTAAGTCAAGAGCAAAATGAAGATGATATTATTACCGCTATTATATAATCATTTGTGAAGTTTAGCTTATGTGATTATACCACAAGAAAATAAACTATGATATGAATAACTGAAAACAGAAGGTAAAAATATCCTTTTTTGCACATATGATATGATGGTCATACAGTCATATCAATCAAGACTAACAGACAAATAATTATTAAAAGTAATAAGTTTCATTGGACCAGCTACAGAACCAACAAAAAAAAAATCAGCTAGTTCCCTACATGCAGCAATATTTAGTAACACTGTAATAATATATAACGAACAAAGATCACATTCATATTAGGAAAAAAAAGGAAATTATATTAAAATATGCAAAATACCACTGAATAATCTTAACTATGTAAGAAGGAAAACTAAAAAAAACTTTACTGAGGAAATTAAAAGACAACTTGAATATATTCCTAAATGTGAAGATTCTTAAAGATATCAAATGTTTCCAGTTTAATTCCAAAAGGAATTACTTTGAATATTGATTTTAAAATGATCCTGAAATTCATCTGGAAGTATATACATGCATGAATAGCCAGGATATAAGCTTTAAAAGAGTAATTATGAGTAAAATTGAAAAACATTTTTGTTTAGTAAACAAAATATTTCAGATGCTGGAAACCATGGAAAGGGAGAGAGAATAAAATATGCCCTTTTTACAAAAACAAGGGACACTGCTTACTTTGATGCTTTCTCTCAGCTCCCTTCCATCTTTAGTATTCTGCACTCAACAGATGGCTTATGTTAGACCATCAATGCCTTCTGGGTGGCAGCAGTATGGTGTTACTACCCAAGGTGTTTCTTTTCAATAATCTTATAGCAGCACCTCAACCACTTCTGCAGTAACACTGATCTTAGTACTCTTACTGCTACCCTTCCGTACAAGAGTTTTTTATTTCATCCAAGAAAAAAGGAAATTTATCAAAGAAACCTCTGTGGCTATCTCACAAAATCTTGAAATGTTTTTGTGACCAAAAGTTTTTTCCCATCTTTCAAATGACCTACCATGTCCTAAGCTCTTGTTAAATTTTTCATGTATCGTGGAAAATGACTGAAGAGTTCCATCTTGACCTGTTGATATATACAGAAAATGCCTAATCAAGCTTCATCGAAACAAAGGACCATCTGAATCACAGATCATTAAAGAAGAGTCTATAAAAAGCTTAAAGTTATAGTAGGACACTTTAAAAGGAGAGTCATATTGCAACTACATTCTTCACTACAGTATTCAACTGTGCATAGAATTCTATTTAAGAACAAAGAATAAAACAAGGTACTATTAATTCTCAGCATATTATTAGAATGGGCAAGGGCTACATTTTCAGAATCTGACCATTCTGTCTCTGTGGATTAGTAAATAGAATGACATTCCAAATGAAGACATCATCTACAGTGCTTCCTGAAGTATTCAAAAAGAACTACCTCATTTTTCTTCACCTCATTTTACCCACATTTCCAAGTCACTCAAAGGGACATTTGAATCTAAAAATAGGTAAATACAAAAACTTATTAAGTACTAAGCACCCTGCTCTCAATAACTGCTGGAATAAACTAATAGCATGGAGCAGAAACTCACTTGCGCTAAGAATTTGTTGTCCGTTTTGTCCATAATACCTAATTTTGGTAAGAGGAGCACTATGTCCCATTCTGAATCTCAAAAGCCGGCCTTCACCTGTGGGACCATCAAATATCCATATCTGCCAAGAAATAAAAAGGTACGGTTGTTCCACAATGTGTTAAGTACTCTGCAAGCAGTCAAATCACCTTCGACATACATCAACTGGCAGGGTAGTGCTTGCCAGGCCGCTGACAGTGGCGTGGGGCTGCAGGGGAGAGAAACTGTAACTCTGCCTTGCTTCACTGCAATCATGTAACCTCCTGCACTTTTTTTTTTTTTTAATCTATAGCAGTATCTTACTTATCCCACATTCCTTCCATCTTTTAGGTTCCAGGCTAATACATTAAAGCTGGCTTGTAATAATCCAAAGGGTAAGACAGGAGAGCCAGGAAGATAACAACAATAATCATAATACCCTGAGAGCATTGTCAGCACCGTTTGTGACAAGAAGTGGTTCTCTATGGAGAAATGTCAGTCCGGCAATTGCTGTAGAATGTGCATTTCTCATTTGATTGATTAATTTTTTGTCTTCAAGATCCCAGAGTCCAATATGGCCACATGGGCTTCCAGCTGCCATTACTGGATGACCGTCTGTTATTAAAATAAAATACATTAACAAAAACATGCACCATAAAACAACTACACAACTCTTCTCTCCACCCTTTTAATAATAAAGTTAGAATAAACTATACACCAAGAGTCTATCCATATTCCTTTGGCTCTTCATACTCCAGTATTTCATTCATAACAGTATTTCATTTATTTCTATTAGATTAAATTATAAGAAAACATCTATTAAGAAAATGTCTATGAGCTTCAAAGTAATGCATTGTAAGTGTTCTTAACTCTTATCAATAATTAAGACTTACCTGTACGAAATGAAATCGAAGTAATAGGTCCCCAGTCTTGACGAAACTTCATTAACGTTTCATCAAATTTAATGTTGTGAATGATAACCTGACCCGACATGAGACCAACAGCAATAACATCCACAGCTGGTGCCTAAAAATTAAATTATTCAATATTTTCAGAACTTTAATAATTCTGATTATATGCATCATTACTTATGTGTTATTGAAGAAATTATGGAATGTCTTCTTGAAGGTGGCAAAAAAAAAAGCAATAAGTATTACCATTCTGATATACTTTGTATTTAGCATGGAAGTATTTAGGAATGGTTTTTCTAAGTTACTACCCTGCTTCAAATTTGGTAGTCACCATCACCTCCCGACCCCCCAAACAGCCAATGTGGTAAGAAAACAGCCATAATAGAAAAGGAAGCTCATGTGTAAAATCACTAAAGATCATTGACTGGATGGAAACAAAAAAAAAGACAACGCCTAGAAAATATATAAAGGCTCGCCACATGCATGGCAACATAAAAGGCCAACTAACAAAGGAAGTGAAGAATTGTTTACTCAAGGAAAACAGGAAAAACCTATAAAACATGTTAAAAGGCAAAAAAGTTTTATAATTAGTCTGTTCCAACTCTAACAGCCTATGATTATAATCTTCATTTTATACAATGGTCTTACATGTAAAGCTCTATGTTAAGTTCCTCTATTATGCAGAATATCAGTGTCCAATACCAATTTGAATGGAATCAGGCCAAACATTTTATCAATTGTCCATCATGTGACTACTATGCATAAGACCCTATGTAGAATCTGTGGATGCTAAAACAAGTATATTCCTTGCCCTCAAGGAACTTAATCATCTGATACCTTTGGGGTCTTCTGGGCAGGCAAAAGCAAAGCAAGATTGATAGTAATGACAGAGGATAAAGGAATGCATATAAACTGGCCAGGAATAAGCAATGGATATTTAGAAAGACAAATGTACACTGGCTGCATATGTGTTCATTATATGTATAAGATTGTCAGCAGACATACTTTCATTCATTCATACATGTTCTGCAGATGCATAAAAACAAAAAGCAATTATTTCTGGAAAAATCCAGCATTTAACCGTCCATTGGGTGCAACTGATCTCACCTATTCATTGTATACAAATTTTCAAATATCTAACAGTTAACTTAAGTATCGTGACTCATCGCTTCCGTACCTTTCCCCTCTACCGTAACCTATCGCCAATCGTGTTTGTGACTTAGTACAGTAAAGATGTATTTCATAGCAGCATCTTTGTGTGCAATGAATCTGTGAGATCAGTTGCGCCCGACGGAGGTTTAATGAAATATTAGGATTTGAGCTCCAATTATTTCAGGCTATAAATCTCAACATCCTGACAAATGTCTCTGTATGACCTACAACCTCCCTGTTTCACTGAACAATTCATCTCCACCCGGTACAAGGCACTGGACTACATGCTTGCAAAATGACTAGTAAACATGGTTCCACAGCAACCACAGGTTTAGAGCCAAATTCCAGGCAAAAGCAATTTCTACCAAGTTTATAAGCAAAGGTTTTATTACTTGTTTTCAATTACATCTTCAAAACACAATTTTTAGGGTAATATTTATAAAGATAAACTAGTCCATATATTTTGTCTTTAAGTCTAAACATATGATCAACCCCCGAAACTAAAAGATTCTACTACTAACTTGTTTCTTCTTTGACTTGAAAGAAAAATACTAACCTGCTGAAGAGCTGTCACTCCAACTTTCCATCCTGGAAATGTATATAGAAGTTTACTACAAGAGGAAAAATAGTTGAAAGCTATTTTTTGGAGGAAAATAAAATCAACTACATATTAAAAAGTTAAAAAATAACAGGAGTGATATTAAGTAATTATTTTGCCTCCCACATATTATTCTATATATAATACACACACACACACACACACACACATATATATATGTATATAAACTTATTTAATAATACTCAAAACAATCCCATGAGGTATACATTCTCCAGATAAAGAAACTAAGAAACTTAAATATGTGGCATAACTCAGCTAAGGTCATGTGACTAATAATTGACAGGGCCCAGAGACACCAATTCCAGACCACAAGCTGCTAATAACTACTATACTATGCCATCCACTTCTTTAAGAAAATAAGAGGAAAAAAAAAAAATACATGAGTAAAAACCATTTTAGATTACAGATGACAGAAAACAATATAAGAATATAGGTAGATCTCATTTTTCACTGCAATGTGTTTCTAGAAACATATCACAAAGGGAATATATTAGAACTACAATACTGCTTGTACGTTATATTAACTGTTATATGACACTAGTGATGCTGCTCAATTTCAGAATCAAGCCACGAATGAGTAAGGCCATGGAGGGCAAACAGATTTCTGACACTGTTATACTGACAATCAATAAAGGACAAAATCATGTATTAAATTCTGTGAGTGGGCACTTTTTAGTTCACTCAATGATTACCCACAGGATGCTTAACGTACAATAAAGACTGTAAGCTTCACATAAAGAGCCTAAAGAGATAACCATAGGAGCAGAGTCAATTATCTCAGTCATTATCCCGTAGCCTAGCAGAGTAGGTAGTCAATAATATTTGCTAAGTTGAACAAGAACAATAATTTAAAACTAAAAACCAGGATAAACATTAAACCTTGGATAATCTTATTTTCTCTCTTGAGTTTATAAGGGATTTGGAAAGGACAATTTGCAAGGTCAGATATTTTTGTCTTTTTAATGCTATACAAAGAAACTTCAGCTACCACTTTCTTCTCTGGATAAATCTTCGAATAACAAGTAGAGTTATTTAAAATCATTTATCTAGCCCTCTAGCTATACCAATATTATAGATGTCCATCATGTTTATGGTTGATGATGAAACATTTTTACCCTGAAAAATCATTCCTAACTGTTATCGCTAAATGAATACTGGCTTGCTTTGCCTTCTTTTACCTTGCTTTACCGAAAACTAGAAGCTGCCCAGTGACAATCTAATAATTATTTTCTGATCTTACGTTATTTTACTAGAGCCTTCTCTACAGCTATATGGATTTTTTACAGTGAGCAGGGCCATTAGTATATACTTTTCAATGGGCAGTTATGAAGCTGAGTAACCACTCCCAAAACATGTATATTTATTGAAAGCCCTTTAAGTAAACATACAAAGGCAGGGAGAACTGAGAGATTTAAGTATGCATTAGGAAGTAGTAGATGAGGATAAGGTAGGAGCCACCCATGTTATGTTCTCAAAAAGCGCTTACTTGGACTTCACATTCCACAGCTGTAGGCTTCCTTGTTCACTGCCAAGAAGAATTTTATTCAAGTAGGTACTTGGATGCAAAATTGCAGAAATTTTAAATACTGATTTATCGAAAGTCAATTGCAGATACTCTTCTACAAAAGTAAGTTATAAATAGCATATGATTATTTTTTCATAAAATAGTTCAAAATATTTTTTATATACCCATATATTAGCACTTAAAATCCACATCAAAGATTTATGTACTAATATAAATCAGACTTATATACGAACCTATAAACATTCCTTGATATTAAAAAAATGTGATGAAAGACAATTTGTAAATATAATTTAGACTGCTAAAAATTTTCTGTAAGTTCTAATATCAATAGTATTAAAAATTTCACTCACCGCTGAATTGGTTTATAAAAATGAAAAATAAGAACTTAAAAAATAATGACACTAGGAATTGGCCTTATTGTTTTCATAATTAGATCAAGAGGCACAGTGAATATTACACAGGAAGTGCTTGCTCTTAGCTCTTCCAGGGAGTGAAGGGCCAATATCTAAAACGCTTAATGGGCCACTCAAAGATGTGAAATGTAAGAGGCAAACCTCAATGAAACTAAGAACAGTGCTTCTCACACATTTCCTTAGAACCTCTTACAGAGGAGAATAAAAGAACTTACAGCCCTGTGGAGTGGGAAATGGCAGGCACAGCCTGCTGCAAGATCAAAACATTTTTTGAAATCTTACATATGTTTAAAATTCCTACATGTAAATTTTGTTTTCTACTCCACATAGCTCATCTATGATAAAAGCAATTTTTCACTAAATTTCCCAATAAATTTGAGTATCAAAGAAGGTACATTTCACTTAATCTTTAGTTTCACATACTATCTGGCACACTGCTGCACACTCCCAGGGGTAGGGGTATGTATATCCCCGTTTTTAGAAACAGAGATACAGGTGAAACTATACAAAGTTTACTTTAAATACTATTTTCAAAGATCCTTGCCTTTATTTGTAATTAGCAGTTTTACTTAAAATCATTACGAAAAGCTCACTGAAAACACTGATTCGATGTGTTGCTGTAACAGCAACAAAAAGCTGGGCATCAGCACCAATAGAAAGCCCACCAGAGTCTAAGAATCACATTCTCTAACTTTATCAAAGGCCTTTTAACATCCCTCTGCACAGGGATTACTTTTGGAATTCATGTTCCCTCTACTTGAACAAAGACAAAACAGAGAAAAGAGTAACTAATTTCAATAATACATGGAATAACTCCCAGGAGGACAATCTCTAGAATTTCTACTAAAAGAAAACATACAGCATCAAACAATGAGTTAATCAAGAGGTAATATAAGATAAAAATGTAAACAGATTAAAAAACTTAAAAGCTTTAATTCATGATAGATCCAGTCTTTTACTGAGGAAACCTGGGGATATTCTGGTGAAATTCCTAACCTTTGAAGATAACAGTCACATAAACATAGCTCACTGTATACATGCCACTGTACAAGAGTATCACTGTTAAAGATATTGACTCATCCTTAGGAAAAAAGGATGTATATTTTCCTTTAAATCACAGGATCTTCAAGTTTACTATTATAATCTCCTTTACTGAGAGTTGAAAATATAAACCAAGAAATAACAGGTGTAAATATACACCAAAATTCACTCCAGAGAAAATAATATATCATGTCACTCAACTGGAGAACTGCAAAGGAAAATGTACTAGTTGAGATAAACACATTGAACAGGTTATAAATAGCTCAACTAGCTGACCAAAATTGCTTATCAATTTTTTACTTAGAACCTTTTTTCCTATATATGTTAAAGGTTCTCAAATTTTTTTTACTGCTTATATTTGAAACCTCTGGTGTTAAAGTTATGCTTACATAGGTTTTTAATTTTACAAACATACTACCCCAAGATAAAGCAATAAATTGGTTAATTCTTACCTTCTGAATATATGTGCCAAATAATAAGAATGCTGTCAATATCAACAGAGATAACATGATCCCCAAAGGGTTGCAAAAGACGGATTTCTGCCTTATGACCCTTAAAGGTATGCACTACCTACAATGTGAAAGTTCAAAAGAATTTCATATTATTAATCATTCATCATGTAATATTATTTATATTAACCAAAAAAAAAAAGCTAATCCTGAAGATGTTCATATTAAGAAATGTGGTCCAATTTTTGATTATCCAAGGTTAGATTGACAAATAGCAAGGAACTAGGCATTTTCACTTACTCCCCCAGCCAGTCCAATGATAAAAAAAACATGAATAAGGAATACAGAAATGAGACCTCAGAGACACGGCCTCCCAACTGAACTTAGGGAGGAGGCATGCACACAGCTGGGTTCCCCACCCAATTCAACTAGCATAACTCCATGCATCCTAGAAAAGTGTTATGTTCTAGAAGGCTAACCTATACAGACTTCATCACCAGCTGGGTTCCAGATGAGATGAGGAATGGAGAGTGGGAGATCTAGGGTACTTCTTTCCTACAGCTTTCTGTTTTAGGGAAGAAGTACTGCATTCCTCAGTAACTACAGCCCCTTCTTCATGGTTTCATTTCTCACCAGGCTCCAGTAACTATTTCTTCTCCTTGACCTAGTGTTGGAAACAGCTTCCTATAGTTGACATTCTCTGGTGCCCTCCCACACCTACCATCTCTCTCTCTATATATATATATACCTCCCAGGGGAAATTACAAACTGCAATATTTTGCAAAAAAACCCCACCATTTTTCCTGACTCTAAAATTTCAAACAACTGCCATTAAAGAGCTCCACAGGTAAGTTGCAGTCTTCTGCCACAGACAATGATTTTGGAGGATGTTAGGAACAAATGTCAGTCCAAGTCAAACCTTGACAAGTATACTGATTCAATCACTTGGCTATTTAGGCATCCCCACTACCATTTTCCCTTTCATTCTGGACCACTAAAGCCAGGTCATCAAGTTAGTTGTCTCAAGATAAACTTAGAAACCAACGGGTAGTTAATACAAGAAAAGATTCTTCCTTAGCAGTGGAAAAAACAGAGAATGTAGGTTTCTCTATGTAAGGAACAAGCACTTGGTTTTTAGAAAAGCAGTCATGGGTTGAGTTGTCCATAATAAAAAAGGTAATTCACATAAAGCAGTAGTGCAAATATGAATCTCCCAGGAAAGAATTTTCAAAATACACATAACTAGGGCTGGCCGAGTGGCACATTGGTTAAGAGCTGGCTTGGGACGCCAGCTTTGAGCAGCAGGGCCCCGGTTCGGATCCCACATGAGGGCCAGTGACGCTGCGCCCTCTATAGCTAAGATGCTGAACAACAGCTCGACCTGGAGCTGGGCTGCTGTGAGTTGCCAGCAACGGCGTAGGCTGCAGCCCCTGCTGCAGTGGGCTGCCATAAGCTACTGTGAGTGGCTGGCAGCCGGCGTGAACAGCCGGCAGCCAGCGTGGGCTGCCAAGAGATGCCATGAGAGGCTGTCCAGTGACCGGCGACCAATCTGCCTCACCCGGAAAGAGAACAATGATGATACCAACATGGGCCAGTGAAGCGATGTTCTCCACAACTAGACTGAAGAACAAAAGGACAGCAACTTGTCTGTTCCCCTTCCCCGATTCCCCAATAAAATCTTAAAAAAAACCAAAAAACACATAACTAAATCCTATCTCAATCAAATATACAGTGGAAAGTTGCAGAGAGAGGACCCAACTGGGCATGAAAATTTGAAGATGCCCAAATAATTCTGACATTAACTCCTGGGGAAAAAAAACGATACTAAAGTTTTAATTAATTTTAAGAATTTGATGAAATCAACTTTCTCTTCCTTCAGAAAACTGAATATACACATGTTAAAAAAAAAAAAAAAAGGGCCAGCCGAGTGGCTCAGTTGGTTAAGAGCTCGCTCAAAAGAGTGCAAGCTCTGAGCAATAGCAGTTCAAGTTCCGGCCCAAGTTGAGCTGCCGCTGAGCTCCCAACAGGTGTCAGGATGGCTCAGCTAAAAAAAAAGTCTATGTCCAGAGTGTCCCAGATAAAGAAAGGCAATATTAAAGTTCCTCCTCTATTTTAACAATCAACTTCTAACTGCAATAGACAAACAAATTAAAATAGTTCAGTGACACAAACCTCTTTATTACGGGCAAATGCAGAGAACACATTCCCATAAGCAGCAAAGACTAGCCTCCCATCAGCTGCCATGCAGCAGATATCCTGTGGAACTGAGTTACCTAAGAAAAAAGAAATATAAAAGAATTAAGAATTTCTAAGATCATGGATCAGGTAGAAACTTCAAGTATATGTATAACATTTTTCACGGTTATAATTATATATATATGTATACACACATGTATATATGTATATATACATGTGTGTATGCATATATACATATATATATATGTAAATGAAAGCTGAGAATTAGAGTATAAAATTTTGACTTTAATGTTATTTTGAACATCTAATAACTATCAGACTGAGACTATGAAATCACCCTAACCTTACCTAAGAGAATTAATGTCTAGTATTTGCAGACATAAAAACATAATTCTAAAGAAATGAAAAGAAGCTTTTTGAGGTTACTTGGAAAAAATCCTCACTTAATACATAAAGCTCTAGCAGATGGTCATCCAGCCTGCATGTGAATAACTTCAGGAACATCAAGTTCACTAATAACTCCAGGAAAAATTTTAAAAGTAAATCAAAATTTAGAACACTGTATAACTCTAGAGTAGCCTCAAAAAAATGTCATGATATTCTACATGCTGACCCTTAAAATGAACAACATGGTTTCTACTCAGTCTTCTCCAAGGTAATTATGCCTATCATATCTAACCATTTTTTATATATGATTTCTTGAGTCCTCTCTATCATAATAGCCTTTTTCTTTTTTTATTTTGTTTTGGAGGTAGGAGGATTAGGAGATAGAGGAGTGTTTTAAGTATTTTTCACACTACACTTTAGAATTTCATTTCCAAATTATTATTTTTATAGGTTTATTATCTACTTCTGTAATCAACTTAGGATATAGTGTCTTTCTGTCTTCTATAATCTTTTATAAAATGCAAGTTTTATTAGACATACACTTTGGATTCCTTATAGTTCTCCTGTTTCTCTTAAAAAGATCATATTTGATGGTGAAACTAAAATCTCTGAGCCCCAGCAAGCCCTTTATTCTATGAAGCAGTTTTCAAAAAAATAACTATTCCTTCCTTAGGAAAAAATATCCAAATGTGGGATAAGGGAAAACTCTCTCTTACAGTAAAAAAAATGATGGAATCATAAAATCACTATTTGGTAATCATAATACTGATTCAGGCAAGAATCACCACTAAATGATAAAAGCAGTGACTGAAAGAGTAATGAGATATTTATGTAGTTACAATGTATCTTACCCCGAGATGCTTACTAATTACTAATTACAAAGAGTAAAACTTTAAAATGGAGCCTCCTAACAAATGTCCCCTTAACAAATGATCACAGTTATCACTGCCAGGAAAAGGATTAACAAACAGCATGAGCCTCCTGATATGATTCACTGAGAATTCAGCATCATTTCTTTGTTATCTTGCCATAGTGCATAACCTGAATCTAATCATCAGGGAATTTTTTTTTTAATCAAATTAAAGGACATTCTAAAAAAGAACTAGGCTAGTCTTCGAATATGTCAATGTTGTACAACACAAAGTTCGACAAACTATTCCACATTAAAGAAAACTAAAAAGACATCACACATTAACTGAATGTAACACATGATCCTGACCTCGACTTTTTTTTTTTTTTTTGCTGCTGTGTAAATTTATTAGATATACACACTGGATTCCTGTTATTTTCTGTAAGTCTTAAATGTATGTCAAAATTGTATAAACATGCATAAATTCAGGATAAAGTCTACACTTACTTACTGCGACCAGACTAAGTTTCTGAACCTGTTTAAAAAAAAAAGAAAAAAATGATTACATTTTCATTAACAAAAACAGTTATAATAATGTAACACTTGAAGATTAAGATATAACTTCATAAATTTGCTATGCTAAAAATTGACACTTACTGGTTCTAATTTTCATTACTAGGAAAGCTTACAGTTTCAACTATTTCATCAGGAGTGGTGATGGAAGAGGCAGGTGAACATTTTCTATAATGGGCCGTATAGTAAATATTTCAGGGCTTTACAGGCTATGTGGTCTTTGTTGCAAATACTCAACTGCTAATGTACCATGAGAGCAGCTATATAAGATACATAAACAAATATGCATGGCTGTATTCCAGTAAACTTAATCTATGAATACAGAAGTTTGATTGTCATATAATTTTGGTATGCCATGAAATATTGTTTTTTACATTTTTTTCCCAACCATTTAAAATTTTCAAAACTACCCATCTCAGAAGCACAGAGCTCAGAGGGGTATAAATGGGCATTCAAACACTAGAGATGCAAGAGTGCTAAGGGCCCTTAGAGGTCAATTAAATATCCTGCTTCTTAAATGAGGGTAAATGTATGTCTTCATCCCATGCCAAAATTTGATTATACTGCATTCTACTACGGTGCAAATTTTACTTGAAGTTGTTATGATCTATTACAATAAACACAAACATACATGCAAAAAATTAAAATGTCATGGGTCATATAAAAACAAGTCGTGGGCAGGATTGGCCTGTAGGCTCTAGTTTGCTGACCCCAATCAATGGTTACTGATCCAGCTGTGTAACCTTGAGAACGTTACTTGATCTTCTTGTGCCTCAAATTCCTCATCTACAAAATAAGGATTTAAATAGATAACTACTTTAGGGGATTATTTTGAGTATCCAATGAGTAAAATTTGTGTGAAACAGAGTGCAGCCAGTCATCCAGTAACTGCTTAAAAAATGTTAGTTACCATCACCGCCACCATCTCCACCTTGGGCATGGCCCTGACTTTCTCTTCCACTAACTCAGCAGCTACCAACAATCAGCTCGTCTTGCTAATTACCTGCTTGATTTTCACAATCCTTCAAGGAATACAACTTTACAGCATGTTTTCCAGAAATGTGCTTACTTAACACTTGCTATTATCATCCTCCTCATCCAGAAAAGGTCCGTTTTAAGAAACAAGTAAACAGCAACAAAAGACTATTTCAATGATTGGTGAGACATGATGAGATATTAAAGGAGCAAAGCCCATCACTAACAAGCAGGAAAGCCTTGGGCAAGTAACTTAGTTTTTCTGAGATTTAGTTTCTTAGTTTACATAAGGGTGCTATGAAACAATGATGTGTAATGTACCTTACAAAGAAACTGTTGCAAGGTTTGCAGTTAAGTGGCACCGTGCCAGACCCTCAACATTAGTAGAATATAGATGACGGGGAACTTTCGGGAAATTAGTTTGCTATCAACATGGATAGTTCCCTAAAATATAATTAATCTCAACCCCATTAGTTCTCCATATATATATGTCAGAATTTCTAACTCAGCTTGTGTCACCAATTGCACAATAAAATGCCTTGCAACTCTTTCACATTAAGAACGCAGGGGGCTAGGGACTTGTCTTAATCACATTTACATCTTCAAGGGAACTTCAATAAATATTTACTGAACCAGTCAGTATACTGCCACAGAACTGAAATGTTTTCCAGTATTTTCCCCTAGCCAGACTGCCTCTGAAACTCGCCCCAAGCGAACTGCAAGGGCTAAATCAAATCAGCACGTGGAAGTGATGGGGGGGGGCGAAACAGGGGAAGAAGGGGTTAAGGGAGAGAAAGGCAGGAGGCGAAGCCTTGGTAGGTGGCAGGGGGAGAGCGGGATCGCCCCAGAGCTGAGCTGGGGGCCCAGGAGGGTGGTTCCCGGGATGCCCGCGAGAGAAGAAAGCACTCACGTCATAGGTGTGGAAGCTCTTGCCCACGCAGGTCGTCACATAGAATCGGCGCTTCAGCGCACTGAACCGCACCACGTGTGGAATGTCGTTGCTGAAAAGTCCCAAAGCTCGGAAACCTGCGAACAGCGCGCTGGCCGTGCGGCCTCCCGCGTCCTGCTCCATCGCTGCGCGGGTACCGGTTACTCTGGACTCCAGTACTGGTGCAAACCGAGTACCGGGCCTTTCCGTGCGTCTCGTGGAGCAAAGCCTTGCCTGGGCTGAGGACTCACAAGCGCTTCCGGTGTCCGCTGCCAATCGCATCAGCAGAGACGGTCCTCAGTGCAACTGAAAAAGAGCTCCCTCCGGAGTTTGTAGGGAGACTCGACTTCGGTTCCACGGGCAGCAGCCTCCAGCGCTTCATTGGTGCTCCTGACCTCTGGTAGGGCTGGAAGAAACAGGTCCCTTTCCTGTGGCAGCTTGAGGGAAGAGAGCGACAAGAGAATCGCGAAGTCCGAGAAGGTGAAGGGGAGAACAAAGCCTTAACCCAAAAGGCGTCAGGTTAAACATGTGAATACAAAAACGTATAAAACCATGAGACTATGGAGAAAATTTGTACACTGACTGGATAATTGATGACACAAACGAACTATTGTTAATTTTTATGTGATAGTAGTGTTGGTCCTTATTGTTTAGAGATACATATCGGCATATTTACACATAAAGTGATATATCTGGGGATTTGCTTTCAAAATAATTGGGATGACGTGCAGGGTTTAGATTGAAAGAAGATTGATAATTGTTGAATCTCGGGAGTGGGCATGTGAGAATTCATAATGTTGTCCTGATGCTTCCAATAAAATTTAAATTCTTCATAATAAAAATATTTTTGTTTGCCTTTTACTGAGTTTTTTACAGTAAAAATGATTGAAATATTAATGGATTATTAATTTTCTCCCTCTGAGTTACAGACACATGTACAAACTAGATAAACATTTTTAAGAATTTTCTAAATTGTGTATAATGCAGATGTTGTTTTTATAATAAGAAGCAAAGACACCTGCATCTATTGGCAATTTGGGGAGAGAACTGAAAAGTTTCCTGAACAGGACTTTAGAGCTCACTAAGCCTTTGACACCCATTAATTAATATAATCCTCGAATTAAGACTTTGAGGTGTTTAGAGCAAAAATTATATTGTTGTTTTACAAATGAGGAGATTGGTTCATTGGGGTTAAGTGATTTGTCCAAAGTTCCAAGATTATTTAGTGCCGAAATCCAGGGTAGCACAAGGTTTAGAAAGGGAGGAGAAGGGGAGATCACTGAAGGGCAGCTGGAGGATAAGAGAAATATGCATTCAGCAATCGTATTTTCAAGACCAAACCTTGGGCCATATGATGCATGTGGATTCACATTAGATAAGGAATGTGAGGTTTCTGGAGATAACCTAATGTCACTGAATTAATTAATGGTAGTGTAACTATTTGAATTTAGGCCTGTCTGACAATCATTTATGTTCTTTGACCTACATCTGGATAGTGAGACAAAAGTTCTAAAATTAGAACTGTCATGGGAAATCTAGTAAATATGCATGTTAGCCATTGTGCTGTGAGCCTTTAAAGCAGCGGTTCTCAACCTGTGGGTCGTGACCCCTTTGGGGGCCGAATGACCCTTTCACAGGGGTCGCCTAAGACCATCGGAAAACAAAAAGATACTTACATTACAATTCATATCAGTAGCAAAATTACAGTTATAGAGTAGGAACGAAAATAATCTTATGGTTGGGGGTCACCACAACATGAGGAACTGTATTAAGGGGTCACGGCATTAGGAAGGTTGAGAACCGCTTCTTTAAAGGGAGGATGTTATGGGCTGATTGTGAGTTTTCCAGTATTAACAGTTGGTCAGAGTTCATTTCTCCTTACCAGTTGCCTCCTTGAGTTACTTGCTATTCAGCTGCCAGCAAATAATGTGAATGTGTGGTAGGAGAAAAGGAACTAGCTATTATTCCTTTTACTTGGTGATGTCCCCAAGGATGCCAGTGTCAGTCAGAATAAAGGAAAAAGTGGGTGTCGTAGATCATTGGCAAATGATCATTTTTAATTTGATTCATTGCAGTGGTCCATCACAATATTCTGGTAAATTAAATATATAGCTATGTCATGTTATCATTTATGACTTTTTAAAAAGGGTTAAATATGAATGTTTCTGAGTAGTTTATATAATAAAGATCATTTCTTTTTTGTTACTCACTATATGTATTGTGATCACCAGCTTTAAAATGGCCCTCAATGATTCTTACCTCTTGGTATTCATGCCCTTGTGTAGTCCCCTCTCACACTGAATAGGGTGCCATGTATAACCAGGCGAGATCATAAAAAAACATTGAAGTTTTGACTTGCTCCTTCTTGAGTCATTTGCCCTTCAGGAAATCAACCGCCAAGTTGGAAAGATACTCAAGCGGTGCTACGGAGTGTCTCACATGACAAGGAATGGAGGGCCTTCAGGCAACCACCAGCACTTCCTTGCTAGACATGTGAGTAAAGCGCCTTGAAAGCAGATCCTCCAGCCCTAGTCAGGCCTTCACATGACTGCAGCTGACATCTTGACGGCAACCTCGTGAAAGATTCTGAGCCAGAACCACCCTATGGAGCCACTCCTGAATCTCAACTATGTAACTTATAAATGTTTATTGCTGTTTTAGGCCACTACGTTTTGAGGTAATTAATACATAACCGATACACATGAATACATAACTAATATATTTATGATTATCTTGCTAATCAAATTTTAAAATGCTTAAATTTGGTTGCATTGTATTGTCAGAAACCCAAGGAAATTTCAAGATCTTTCTTGTCCATCCTCTTAATTTAGAGATGAGTTACCTAACTACTATGGACTACAATGTGCAATTCGGTGGTGGAAGAGCAGGTACCACATGTCAGTTCTCCTTATTCTCAATCCAAGACTCTCCACCTTGAGGAGTTGTTCATTCTGGCTGCCCCATTTTTGCTCTGATAGTGGAAGATGTGTGAGAGCATGTCTGTCACTGGTTCAGTAGCACCACTAGACCACACGTTGCACCATGATATTGTTAACCCGGGTAGAAATAAAAGATTTACTGAATAAGTCAGATCTATGTTTTCCACAGATAAGCATGTACATTTCACTAAAACGTTGTCATGGCAATTCTGATTTGGAGTTTGGAGACTATAGGAAATGCTTGTTTTAGCCAGCACCCTTAAGAAAAGTCATTCAAATGTTGCAGCATAGAGAAACCTCATGAACAGCAAACCATTTATTTCAACTCTTTTCATGTAAATCCTTCTCTTTTTCACATATCAAACACTATTCTCTTCTTTCAAAGTACTAAAGAATTTAATCAGCTTCACAGTTTTGCCTGTGGTCCTGTCTGAATTGGCTGTTTCTCTAATCACCTACTTTGATAACGCTGCCCTGACAACAGTCAGTCCTGAGAGTTATCCACGCTGCTGCCTTGATTAAAGTTTAACAAGGAAATGAATGGTGGATGCCTTTCCCAATACTCAGGACAAACTTTTACCTGATTAAACAACAGCAAATGAAACAGTTCTTCAATAGTACCCAGGCTAGCACTTAGCCTGAAAGAAGTGCCAGCTCCCTGGAAAAAGTATCCTTAGGTTTGCTATCACTATAGGCACCCACACATTATCTTTTCCTGTAGTCAGGCTAGAGAAATCCTCTTTGTTTTAAAGATCTTGAACTTCCTTTTTCAATTACACTGGGAACTCAAAGCTGAAGTACTCCACTGTAATGAGCTGCTGGGATAATAGGACATGTGGACTAATAGCATCAGATGATGATATTATAGAAACACCATTCAATGTTCTGCTGTTCTCTTGAGGTCTCTTGTTTGACTTGAGTGCCAGAAATCCAGGCCCCCGCAATGATCTATAAAAGGTAGCTCCCAAGGTACATTCCTTTTCATGTAACAGCTTTTCCTAAGTACTCCATGCAGTCTTGTCCCTGAATAGAATGTCTAGTATGAGACTAGACCTATGTAGGCCCACTGACAGTAAGGTTACTACTTTCTTTCATCCTCATTAAAAAAAATATATCTTATGCTACATTGATGGTAAGAAAGGCTTTCTACTCCATTCATTAACAGATCTTTCTGACATTAAGGGACTAAGAATAGGGAGGAAAAAAAGAAAAGAATGAATGGAAAAAATTAATCTGCCAATTACCATAAAGGTTCTTACCTTGAAGTAGATCTTTATAAAAAAATTATCTGGATGGAACGTGTTGGTAAGTTTTGTAATCAATATACTTTGAGCACATTCAGGGTACACAATAGACACAAAATGAAGACATTATAATTAGAGGTGTCCACCAACCTGGAGAATTATTAGGAACTGTTGTGAGGGCATAATTTCCTAGCTTATCTCACTGGTACAGAATCAGCATCCACTGTTGCAAAAATGGCCTCCCCAGAAGCGATACCTGATCATCAAAAACCTCTCCAAAACTAAAAATTGAGAAGGAATAATAGGTTCTTTTCTCTTCCTTATCTCTTTTTTAATTAATTTGCTTATAGGCCATATAAAACTATATTTATGGGTCACTTAGAATTCTAAATGACTGAATACATGTCTGGAGCTGACTACACTATTGTCAATGGTGGTGGTCAGTATGCAAAAGAATCACTGAGGACCTACAAACCAGTGTTCTGATTCAGCAGAAAAGGGGCAGACAAATAGGAATCTGCACTCAAACAAGCTTCCCTGGTGATTCTTTTTTTTTTTAGCTGAGTCATCCTGCCACCTGTTGGCAGCTCAGCGGCAGCTCAGTTCGGGCCGTGAATTGAACTGGTGACCCTGTTGCTCAGAGTAAGCTCTTAACCAACTGAGCCACTCGGCTGGCCCCCCCAGGTGATTCTAATGCCAGTGGTATGCAAGTCCCTTTGAGACCTTTTTTTGACCGCTAAGGAATTGACTGGTGCAGTGATGCTGTTGGATGCTAGCAATGGATGAGATCATGGAATGGGTGCTGCCAGTACATGTTATCAGGACTTCAAATTCTCTGGCACCAGTTGAGAAAGGGCACCACTGAAATAACAGTCTTGCATGATGGAAAACCTCAGTCACATATGATCCTGAACTCATTACATTCACTCTGGAGTCTTCAGGCAAGTTCCAGGGAAATAAATAACTGAATCTCATTAAGAATTATTTATAGCCATTTAAAAGAAGAACAATGAGACTATTATTCTACTTTTCTAGAGACTAGGGTTTATTTTCCAGAGAAATGAACCTTAAGTAATCCAAATTTGGAAAGCATGCAGAGGCGGTTATTGCAGCTGAGACTGGAAGGTGAAGTAAACATCACACACTGACCAGTGGGTCTCCTAATGCCTTTCACACCATACTCCCAGAAAGCCAACTTTCAAGCACATATACACCTCCAAATAGAAGACTGCAGGAACACTAAGGAAAACTGAACGGTCCCAGAGAAAAGACCTATAGCTGCTGCCATTTAGTGACCTTGCATTGAAAATGTCTTTTGTCACCTAAGTGACCTAACATTTCATTCAAGAAGTATTTATTTAACACTAATGAATACCAGACACTTCCAGATGCTTCTGATGTTGTCAAAAATCAAAACAAATATACAAGACTTGCTTCAGACATACAAATAATTAGAATAGACTTATAAAAACTTGCCCTTGTGAAATCTGTGTTCTATAAAAGAGAGACAGACAATAAAAAAAGAAGTAAACAGTAACTTTGAAAGATGTTGCTAAATATGAGGTGGGGAGGCATGCTGAGGAATAGAAAGTATGAGAATTGCAATTTTTAATATTTCCAGGGAAATTTTCACTGAAAGGTGACCTTTGAGCAACAGATTGAGATCACAAAGTATATTTTTATATCCTACATACATTATATAATGAGTATATTCTCATAAAACTAAATATTGACAATATTATTTAATACTTATATAACATGTACATTTCAAATAATGTTAATGAAACAAATGTCCACGTAACCACCATCACATAAAGAAATTGATTCCCAAGTGAACTTCCAATATTACATACCCAATTTTCTTATTCACAAATAATTGTTAACTAAGTTTTGTGATAATCATTCTTTTGCTTTTTAATTTATCATGTATCATTATTTACTCAGATCTTGCATGAAATTTAGCTTGTTTCTAAATTTTTACTATTACAAATTCAATCTCGAGTAATTCTAGTTAAAGTGACTGTGTCTCTGAGTAACTGTCACTCTCCAATTTTCCTATTAATCAGATGTGTACCCAATTAGCAAGACAGCAATAAATGAATGAGTGTGTGAATGAGTACATAAATGAGTAGCAAGTTAAATTCTCAAACAAATTGTCTTTTTTATCTGAAGAAAATATTGGTTAATTTACATGATATCTGGTCCTTAAGAAACAAAACAAAAGTTACCCTGTGTTAAGTGCTCAAACTACCTGAAAAGTCTGACTCAAATAAAAGGAAAACATATGATAACCACTCTCCTCCTCACTGTCATATGGACTGCAAATCAGAGACTGTGAAAGATCCCTTTTCAAAAGGGAAATTTGCTATAGTGATAATACTAGAGATGTCAACTCTATTCCAAAAAGGAGCTTGGGTGGAGAGGTTAATCTAAAAAAAAGGACTACTACAGGAGAAGGTGTGTTTCAAGATAAAGTTTGTACCAGAATATTTCAAAAATAAGAAACTGACTTTCCTAAGAAAACTCTTTTGTTTTGCCTGTACTCATCCTTCCTCGTTCCTGAATACCTTTCATTTCTGTATTAGTTCAAAATGTTTGGCTTGAAAGCACAAAGAAACAAGCAAACTGAAAAACAATGATTCTGCCTAGTCTATGGGGAGAAACAACGAATGGAAGGGATCGGGGGTTGCTTAGAGAATAAAAGGAAAAGCTACAGAACCATGCTTCAGGAAGAACAGGAGCAAGGCCAGCTTCTGCTAATCTCTTCTTTTACTTTTTTTGCCCCCACCATCTTAGTCTGCTTCTTTGGGATCAGAGAAGGGAGAGGATGTGAAGAAAATATGACATTTAGATGATTCGTTCAGCAGTACTCTCTTGACTGTCAAACATCCTGTCTCATGTAGCTTGACCAACTTTTGATCCCTCTCAAAAGACTGGTCATCACAGGCTATTCTGACGAATCTCCCTTCCTTAGACTTCTCCCAATGAGAGGTAGGCATTATTTTCTATGCACTCTGTCTGCCTCGTCTACTCAGAATATGTGAGATAGCACATTTTTCTCATTATTTAAGCCAGCTGAATGGAAGCTCTCCGTTCCATGCAGAAATGGATTCTGTTTTCTGATGAAAGTACTAGAATACACAATTAAATTGTGGCTTAAACAACAAAGGTATTTATTATCTCATGTTTCAGGAAATTCAGAGGTGGCGTGGTCCCAGGGTTGGTTCACTAGCTCAACAACATCAGCACAGACCAAGATACTTTCCAATTGTCAGAAAGTCAGTGATATCTGAAAAGATGGATGCAGCCATTCCAAGAACAACATGCAGAAACAAAATATTCAGTTAAGGAGATAGAATAAGAAAGGAAAATCCTTTACAGAAGCCTTACAGCAGATTTAACTCAGGTCTTGTTGATCAACACTGTGGTATATATACTCATGTTTTAATGTCAAGGGAGTCTGAACAAATAACTATTTGGCGTTTTCAACATCTTTAGAGAGAGGTGGTCTCTGCCACCAGCCACCGCAGCAGCATTGAAGCATAAATAAGATTTTTCCCTTTTATTCTGGCATATTACAATCCAGAGAGCTTAAAAATTATCCAAGTTAGAGATGCCATTCATAATAAGTAAACGAGGAAGTTGAACATTTTTTTTTTTTTTGCAGGACAAGATCTTAGGAGAAGAGCTTTATTTGTTCTATCTCTTTGTACTATCTTTTCTCAGGAAAGTAAAACTCTTACAGTTCTGAACTAAAATGGCAAACCATAATACTTTAACAACAGTATTAATTAATAATCCCACTAAACTTTCAATGTCTTATTCTATTAAAAACTATAATGCACATTTATTGATTTTCCTTCCTGGTATCTCCTCCACCCTCGTTTTTTGAACATGGAACCAATCAGAAGTATGAGTTATTTTTAGACATGACAATCATAGAATTGACAACAATTATAAAATCTTCAGTCTTATAAGAGCCCTCAGAACAAAAACCAATTCCAAAACCAGATTTATACTAACAGACAAAAAAATTTTTTTTTATAAAATTGGTGATTATTTACTTAAACCCACATATTTCATAGGAAAGCTAGATTGCTCTTGTGAAAATTTACAATATGGTGTTTTATCAAATCAGATTCTTTGGAATAGTTAATTTTTGACAAAGAATGATTTCTCTTACTCTGTGGGTGCAGGAATGAAAAAGCTCCTTTATCTTTTCCTAAACCCCCTTTATCGTTGCTAGGGGGCTATGGGGAGGGGGGCTTTCAGCAGTGAGATGCCCAGGGAAAAGAAAGCACGCAGAGCCGACATGAGGAGGAACCAGCTGCGTCTTTAATTAGCAATAGCAACCATTATACAGAGGTTTTGGGGGAGGAGAGCACATAGAAGTGGCATGCTCTCTCCCGCGGCTGTGAATCATGCTTACGTAAAGAACTTATGTCACCAGAGCCCAGTGCCTGTGCAGCAGACTCCAGAGTCAAGGTTTGTTATGTCTGGGGCCAGGGTCCATGCGTCAGCGGCCCCTGCTTATGTGGTCCCGAACCTGGTCCAGGGTCTGGGTCCGTAAGCCAGCTTGCACACAACTGATTCAGCCTGGGCCCTGTCAGGCCACCCCCTGCAGGGTGGTAGTTCGGGACTTGACCCAAAGAGTGTGTCCCTGTGCACAAAGGCCACAACAGAGAGTAACAGAGGACCACGAGGCTGACGGCAATACCTGCTAAGATAAGGTCTGCCGATCACCATGAAGAGCCAAGGGAGTTCCACCAACACAAAAGGGGGTCATCATGCAGGGACTGGATTGCCAATACCTTGGTGTCTATCTCCTGCAAGGCTTCCTGTACCTTTTGTTGGTGGTCCGGGATGTAAACACAGCATTCAACCTGCAAGGCGGTACATGTCCCCCATTGCGCAGCAGTTAACAGGTCTAAGGCCATCCTGTTCTGCAAAACCACCTTTTAGTACAGACATGTACATCGCCTGCTTCGTGCATGAGCACTAACCCAATAGCCCTAAGCTCAGCCCATTGGCTAATCTGGCCTGGGCCAGTTTTATACCAGAACTCTTCCAACTCTGGCTTTAACCCCACTGCAGTTCATGCCGGGGGCTGGCCCCGACAGGAGCCATCTGTATACCATGCCCTGCCAGGGACAGGTGGCTTTCCTTCCTTGTATGGACTGGTCGCCTCTACAGGGTACTCAGGAAGTGCTTCTTTATTGTCTGTCCGGAAGGCTACTGGGCCCAACAGCTTGTGGAGCTGTTGGGACACAGACTGGTGTTAAACGTGGCCTGTTGCTCCATGTATGTTTCCCACTTGGCCCATGCGGGAGTTTGGACCACCCCTTCTAGGGAGCCCTGAGCCATGACTGCAGCCAACTGTCGACCAGGTATGTGGACTGCACCGTTACAGGTGCAGGACCTGTGATGGTCTCACAGGCCATTAGGGTTGCATAAATGGCCACTAATTGTTCCCAATTAGCAAGTATCACTGCTCAGCTCCTTTCCAGGGCTGAGACCAGAAACCCAAGGGCACCTTCCGGGTCCCATGAGTTTGCCATAAACCCCAACCAAAGCCTTTCTCTTGTATCTGAACTGTCAGCAGGTATGGAAGGGCCGGGTCAGCGACCCGTCTGCCTTCTAGCATAACTTTGGTCTTACCTGACCAGATAACTCCCAAAAATTTGACAGACAATCCAGGCCCTTGGGCCTTGGCCTCGTTGACAGCCCATTCCCAGTTGTTAAGTGCCACGCTGAGGGCCTTGGCCGTATCCTCTAGATCTGTAAGAGAATCAGAGGTTAACATTATACCATCTATGTGACGAAACAAGCACACGGTCAGGGGCTTGGTCCATGTAGCTAAATCCTAGGCTACCAGCCCATGGCACAGTGTTGGACTGTGCAGGTAGCCTTGTGGCAACACCTGGAAGGTCCATTGCCTCCCTCCGAGGTGAAAGCGAACTGCTTTTGGCTGGCAGTGTCCATGTTAATAGAAGGTGTTGTTAGCCAAGTCTACCACATAGTGGAACCATCCTAGTTCCTATGAGAGGCGATCCATCAACTCCGTGATGTTTGGAACAGCGGCGTGCAGCGGAGGAGTCACCTTGTTCAGTTCCTGGTAGTCCACTGTCATTTTCCAGGAACCGTCTGGTTTCCGTACAGACCAGACCGGGGAGTTTAAAGGGTTGTGGATGGACCGTATGACACCTGCCCCTTCCAACTTCAAAATAGTACACCCAATCTCCTCATGCCCCCCTAGCAGGTGGTACTGTCATACTGTATCTATGTGCCAGGGCTGCGGCAATACTTGAGGGGTGTGGTGAACATGCCCGAGTATCACCGCCTTCACCACCCGGACCCGGAGGCAGAATTCTCTGACCACAGTCTGTAAGATGAGGCTGTACAACACGTCCACCCCCAAAAGATACTCAGGTATAGGGGAGACATACATTGTGTGTGGGCAAGGGCAGTCTACCTACATCCAGCGGTAAGAAGACAGCTTGTACTTTTACAGTCTTTTTCCCATAACCATCAATACAGATTACTGGTCCAGGGGACTGCTCTGGGTTCCCATAAACAAGGCTGCAGTCAGCGCTGATGTGAACCAGGACCAGTTCAGTCCGGACACACAACACCTGTTGTTTTCTGCCTGGGGATTTCAGCTCAAGGCCTTCTGAGAATTGGCAACAAGCCTAATTTTTAATTTTATCTGCTGCTGTGGGCCACACAGAGAGAAAACACTATCATCTCATATCTCCCCTGCCGGGAATGAGACAAGGGGGCGTTCTGTCAACCCCAAACCAAGGATTTCCTTAACCCTCAGCTAACCATCACCCCACATGCAGTCTCTCATGTGAGGGAGCAAAAAGCTCATAGACAATAGTTAACACAGTTTCACGTGGGGCCTCCAGTCCCCAGTCGTCCCCTCTGACCAGGTATCTTGGCGTCTCCCCTAGTCAAACCAGAAAGAGCTAGCCTCTGGTGGTCGCGTGCATTCTTGGCGGCTCACGGGTCGTACCTTTCTGGACTTGTCCTTGGGGCTTTGCTGGAACTGCTTTCCCAATTCCCATAACTTGTAGGGAGTACAAGCTGTGAGCTCAGTTACACCTGAGTTGTCGATAGCTACTCTCCCTGGACCCAAAGGCTGTTCATGTTTCACCTTCTGATGCACGATGGGTTAAACCTGGGGTGAGGGGCGGCTTCGACCTCACCCGCGTCCTCTGCCAGGGACTCCGGAGGGGCTTCTGCCTCAGACCCAGCTCCACGGAGCTCCTCCTCTAGCTGGTGGACTCAAGCTTCCTGCGCTTCCTGGATGTCTTCAGGTCGGGGGAGCACGGCGTCCCAGTCTTCCGGCAGAGTCCACACAAGCAGGTATGCTGACTGGATACCAGAGGGATGTCTGGGGCCACATTCTGTCTACCGGAGGCGGTTCTTCTACCAGGGTGGAGGGGGCACTCTCACCTTGTCACCATGGTGATCCTGCAGAGAACTACTCCCGAGTTTCAGAAGGGCACGCATCTTGCCATCCTGCCAACTACGCCAAGTGTCATCACCAGGCGGAGGAGGAGCGGCGCTGGGGCGGGCGTGGCTTTTGGCAGTGAGATGCCCAGGGAAAAGAAAGCACGCAGAGCCGACATGAGGAGGAATGAGCTGCATCTTTAATAGCAACCATTAGATGGAGGTTTTGGGGGAGGAGAGCACACGGAAGTGGCATGCTTTCTCCCACGGCTGTGAATCATGCTTACGTAAAGGACTTATGTCACCGGAGCCCGGCACCTGTGCAGCAGACTCCAGAGTCAAGGTTTGTTATGTCTGGGGCCAGGATCCGTGTGTCTGCGGTCCATATTCTTCTAGTTTTCTTCTTTGGAAGATAGAAGTAGGAAAAAAATGAAACATGCATAAATAAACATACAAAAAAAATATTAGCAGACCAAACATGCTTTTATCAAGTTATTATAAATGTTTTCAAGCAGTTAAAGTACTTAGTTTGGGTCAAAGGCCAAACCTCAACTATTTATAATTTACTGTAAACAAACTATATACAAATATCATAAGTGTATCTCTCTAACTTAGAATTTAACGTAGAGAATAACAAAACAATTTTATATTAAAAAGCAATTTTATATTAATCCAAGCCACAGTTTAGAGTGTAGATTTAATCTCCATAAACCTTTATGTGTTCAGTGATAGCACAAAAATAAAAAGCTGATAGGTGTTTATGGGGCACCTAATGAGCACAATCATCATAAAAAGCTTTAGCATTTGATTCTGAATTTTAAAGAAGATAAGTAAGAATTTGGAGAATTTTAATTAAAATATTGACTTAAGATAGCTATCATATGTTATACAGAGAATACATATGTGTTAAATGCCCTTGAACATTTATAAAAATTGATTAAATAGAAGGTAATAAGAAAAATCTTAATCTATTTCAGAAAGTTTCAGGAAATTATGGGCAAAAAAACTTACATAATCAAGATGAGGGTAAGATCTTTTGGAGAAGGGATTTTAAAAATTTACATTTTCCATATCTCCTGTGATAAGCATTGAAGCCCATACTTGTTGCTATTATTTTTCTTCTTTCCACATCTAATTAAATATTTGGCTGGATCTCTTGAACACTGAAAAGAACTTGATCACCCTGAAGCAAGGCCCGGTTGGGACCCCTGTAGCAGAGGCCTTGCCACATCCCCGGTCTCACCTTTCCTTGACCTGAAGCTTAGGAACAGATCATCCCCCTGACGCTTGAGCTCAAAATGTCCCATCCCAGTTCCCTGATTCAGAAAACTACCCTGAAACTTATCATTAATACCCCCCACGCTTACTGATCACAATCTTTATAGCGTAGCATTCTTTCCGGGTTACTGTCATCACTGCTCCTAGGTTGATGAGCATGTTGGAAAGCCACATCGCCAGAGGGAAGGCTCCATGCAAGACCCCAGGAACCGTCACGTAGACTCTGGAGGAACGCCCAGATTTTCACTTAAACATCCCAGATTTTTATGAGAATGTTAAGGCAGTTTTTGGAGGTGTTAAGCCGCTGCCTTCTCAGACCGCTAGTGCTCTGATAATAAATGCTTATTCTATGACCTAACTCCTGTGTTGGCCTATTGGCTGAGCGGCGCAGGCAGCATGAGCCCCCCGTTCAGTTGGACTATGGTTTCAACTGCAGCATCTGTGTTGTTAATCGTCCAACTAGGCCATCCAACTGTATAATCAGGGAGCATGGATGGCTTCATATAGTACTCTATAAATACTGGTGGAGGACAGTGGGGTTGGTAAGAAAATTCTGTTGGCAATTTTGCCAAGAAGTATTCTTAATTATAAAAAGAAAGGAATAAACGTGGTACCATTTTATTTATCATGTAGCATACTTACATTGTTTCTCTGACTTATTCAAGGACATTTTAAAGGGGATTTTAAAAGATACATACAATGTAACATGATAGCAAAAATTAAAAGTAAAGTTAGGGTAGGGAAAGATAAAAAACAAGATGTCAGGAGAAATAAATTGGAAACAAGATTGAGAGTAAACAAGTACACAGACGTCTTTCTTTACCAAAAACAAAGACAGAAAACATCAATTAAAACTGAATTTTGAGAAACATCTTTGGTTCTTATGACGGATTTTATCTAAGTTGGCTATCTTTCCAAGAAGTAAACTTGAATATGATGTTAAATCTATGTGTTTGATCCTGTCTAGAAGTCAATTTCCCGGTCCTAAACAGAGTGCCTCAGGAAAAACAGGAGAAAAATCACTAAAAACAATGTCCCAACAACATAACTTTGCATTTGGCTCCTTCAAAACACTTGTCTAGAAGATAGGTTAATACAGCTCTTAGACACTTTTTAGGACTTTTTAATATTGTTAAATATTACATATATTTAAAATTTCAATGTCCACTTTGTTCTATCAATTTCTGTTTCTTTCCTTCCATTTCCAGAAATGTGCTTCTCTGTAAAAACTAATTATTTTTGCTCTATAAAATGTATGCATTAAAGGTACAAAATTATCACAGGGTTCCTCTTTTACTTACTACATAGACATTCTTGCATTTTGTTAATTTTGTTTCTGGATTATGAAAATAAGTGATGTAGTATTTTGATAATTTAAATGTCTTTCTACTTTGGTCTAGAATATATAATTTATGGTTGCAGTTCTCTTAGGTGATTTAATATGTGGATATAGAAAATTGTTAGAAGCAAACTAAATGGAGTCCCAGGTGCTTTAATCCTATTTAGTAGGAAACAGTATGTGAGAGGTACAAATAATCTGCTTGCATTTGCAGACACTCCCATTAACAGAAATGCGGGCAAATAGGTCATGTCGTGATTCTTACAGACCATCTTATAAATGTAGAGTATATGCAGGTAATATCCTATATTGAGTAAAGATCCTCACATTGGGACCAAGACTTCCCAAAGGAAAGAGAATGAGGTAGAGGGATGATCTTCCTGGCAGACAACCTGCCAGGCACTGAACAAAGTAAATAAATTGATAGTGGCGACACAGCTGACAGCGAAGCATATCAGAGTGGCCCAAGTGTGTGCCAGTGGTGTTGAAATGGTGGTGATTCTTCATGAGGCATTCAGGGAGAACTCTACAGACTGGCTTTGCCTTCCTTGTCCCAAACTATGTGGGAGGGCCTCAAAACACAGACGTGGTTATAAGAAGATGGACATCTGAGTCAAAAGAGAAAGGCAGTGTAGCACAATCAAAAGAACACTGAATTAGGTGCTGCCTTTTATCTGAGCAACTTGAGTGGGTTCAGATGCCTCCTGGGGGGAAAGAAAGGATCAAGGTTAAATGTTATCAGGAGCCCTGGGTTGAAATACTACTCTGAGGCCTGCTGTGAAAAGCGGACAGGAAGGGCTCTACAAAGGAATGCATAAAAAATGGGAAGGGGAGTCTGGGCAGATAATTAGAACTAAGAAGCACCTTAGAATGCTGGAGGTGGCTGATTCCACAACATTGGGTAGTAGAGGCTCCACCTTTCAGGAGCCAGGTGCCCGAGCAAGATGTAGGTTTGGGGAAAGAACCCTGAACATGTGAAGATGAACTAAAGCAGTGGTGACCTTAGTATTCAGGATCAAAGTTCAACATGCAGAATAACCTCTTATCCTTATTGTTTTACTTCCATATGGTTTTCATTTATGGAAAAAACAAATATTTAGCACTTTAATAAGATTTGGATCAAGTGACTAATATACTAAGTAAAAATGTACACAACCCTCTTTTTACTTGACAGTGATGAAAGGTCTTTTTGAACCTATTGAAACATTTAAAAAATTTCTTTAATGTCCTTGCCTGCTCATTTTAATTTCTATGTTATTTGTGGATGAGTTTCATTTTTTTCTCATCATGGGTTGTATTTCCATATTTCCTCATGTATGACAATCTTTAATTGTATGCCAACATTGTGAATTTTGCCTTGCTGCATATTTTTATGCCTATACATATTCTTTTTTTTTTT